TGAACAACCAAGGGGGCCAGATTCCAGAAAATTCAAACCACTATTGATCAATTACGAGCGGCCGTGCCCCGTTCCGCCACCGTTCTCGGTGCATTCGGTCAACGGGACGAATAAAATCACCAAAAAGTGTCTTCTGTCGATATTCGGCACAAAAACCCCTTTTTCGTACTAAAATCCTTATCAACCTTCGACGGCATAATTGGTCTCGACCTGTTTACGCAGATAGGGGCAACATTGTGCTTGAAAGATGGAACACTCCGTTTCGGTAACACGACTGAGGCCATAAAATTCCACAGGTGCACTGACATCAACCATACTAGCGTAGTTGAAGTCGACGCACCACCGGCCATAAAAGAGAAATTTATGCAGATGTTGAATAGAAGGAGCGCGGCTTTTGCCGACCCTAACGGGACACCACCTTACAACACTTCGGTCGTTGCCACCATTCGCACGGTGGACAATGAACCCATATACTCCATTCTATACCCTTACCCTATGGGGGTAGCCAATTTTGTTGAATACGAGGTCAGGAACCTCCTGAAGGACAACATATAACAATCAACCATTTAACAATCCCATATGGGTGGTGGACAAAAAAGGCACTGATGAACAGGGCAACAGGAAGAAACGTCTAGTAATGGACTTTCGGAAACTCATCGAGAAGACAGTGGCCGACAAATACCCCATGCCGAGCATCTCAATGATCTTAGCCAACCTGGGGTCGGCAAAATATTTCACCACACTCGACCTAAAATCCGGTTACCACCAAATAACTTTGGCGGAGTGCGACCGAGAAGACTGCCCTTCGGTCTTCGGAATGTGGGAAGCATTTTTCAGAGGGCAATCGATGATTTTTTGCGCGAAAAAATCGGCAAAGCATCCTACATCTACGTCGATGACGTAATTTTCTTTTCTAAAACCCAAGACGACCATGTGAGACATGTTGATTGAGTACCTTAAAGTCTATACGAGGCAAACATGAGAATAACTCAAGAGAACTCATTATTTAAAGAAAGCGTCGAGTACCTCGGGTTCATTGTGACAAGTAATGGCACAAAGACAGACTCAGAGAAGGTAAAGGCTATCTATCTTTTTGCACTAAGGTAATTTTTGGTACTTGCAAGCTACTACCGCTGCTTCATAAAAGACTTTGCTGCTATTGCAAAGCCTCTCTCAGATATTATGAAAGGTGAAAACGGGTCGATAAGCAAATACAGATCTAAGAAAATCTTGATTAACCTTAACGAGGCTCAGCGCCATGCGTTCCAAAAGCTCAAGAACATCCTTGCAGCAGAAGGTGTCATGCTGATGTATCCTGACTTTTAAAAACCCTTTGACTTAACTACGGACGCTTCAGCCTATGGCATAGGTGCAGTCCTTTCCCAAAATGCGAAACCAATCACGATGATATTCCGAGCTCTAAAAGACAAGGAGGCAAACTACGCGACTAACGAGCGTGAGTTGCTGGCCATCGTCTGGGCCCTAGCCAAACTTTGGCACTACATCTATGGGGTAAGGGACATAAACATCTTTACAGACCACCAGCCGCTTACATTTGCGGCTCGCATTGACGAGCTTGGGGCCAAGCTTTTCTATAAGCCATGCAAAGAAAATCACGTTGCTGACGCACTGACTCGACAAAATGTCAACGCGTTGGAAAGCGCCCCACAGTCGGACGCAGCGACGGTTCATAGCGAGGTATCGCTTTCCTATACTATACAAACTATGGATAAGCCCGTCAATTGTTTTAGAAACCAGATAGTTCTAGAGGAAGCCCAATTCTCTCTAAAGCAAGTCTTCATTCTCTTCGGGGAAAAGACTCGGCCTATCGTACACTTTACAGACACAGTCACCCTTGTTACTGTCATTAAGTCGATAGTAAAGCCGCACGTCGTAAATGAGATCCATTGCGATTTCCCAACTCTAGCATGCGTGCAGCATGAGTTGGTAAGAGCCTTTCCGTCGACAAGATTTTGGCATTGCAAGAATCTTGTCGTAGACGTATTTGATGATAATGAGAGGAAAGAAATCATCACGGTAGAACACAATCGAGCTCATAGAGCCGCTCAGGAAAATGTAAAACAGGTTTTGACCGATTACTATTTTCCCACGACGCCACGACGCCAATTCCGTCGTGCACGGGAGAAATGCTGCATGTTGATATATTCTCAACCGATAGGAAATACTTCCTGACATGTGTGGATAAGTTCTCTAAATTTGCCATCACGCAGCCAATAGCCTCAAGCGCCATTGCGGACCTAAAAGCTCCGCTGTTACAGCTTATGAGCTCTTTTACAAAATAACTTCGGAGTCTACATCGCTCACGCGCCGCCACTCCACAGTACATCGAACGGCCAGGTGGAAAGGTTCCACAGTACTTTGGTGGAAATTGCCAGGTGCCTCAAAATGGCTAAGGGCATCACCGACACCGTCGATCTATTCCTGCAAGCAACCGTAGAGTACAACAGGTCAATACATTCGGTCACCAATAAAAGGCCAGTAGACATTTTTCACTCTGCTGTAGCAGGTGCCTGCAGGGAAATACAGAATAAGGTTCAAAAAGCTCAGATCATGCAAAACAACCGAGTTAACCAGACACGACAAAACAGAGTGTTTAGGGTAGGAGAAAAGGTGTTGGTAACATTTTAAAGACGCCTCGGGAACAAGTTGACTCCGCTTTACGTGGAAGAAGCTGTGGAGACGGACTTGTTGACAACAGTCCTGATTGGAGGGAGGGTGGTCCATAAGGACAACCTTAGATAGTTGTACCGGTTAGATTTAAGAAAGATAATGGTGGTGGTACTTATAAGATTCCTTAAGTTCCATATACTTTATATTACAAATTTTATCCGCAGGTTTCTCTGGATACTTCACCTCTTTACAATAATTGCGGCCAGCATCACTGGCTACTCCAACTCCCACTATATTCCCATTACAGATGGGACTGTACTAGTGTGGGAGGAGCTAAATTACATTAGGCACACCATGAACATCATGGAGCACCACAAGGTCCTGAGTCTACCATTCCTATACCAGCTCAGCGAGGACAACTGCAACTACATGAACGAGATTGAGCGAACCACAATGGGCAAGATGAATCCCATCCTTACCATGGGAGTGGGAGTAGCCCTCTGTGGAGTCATCGGCATCATCCTTTATCTCAGAGCCTTACTCAAGAGGAAAAAGGAGTTGGTCCAGGTCAACGCAATGATTGAGAACTTGAGAGGTTCGAGGGAGACCACTCTTGTAGAGGATGAGTAGTTAACACTCCCCACCAACGGCAGGGTATCGGCACTGTTCTTGCTTTGTAAAAATGCTGATACAGCCGGGCATCGAGTTGAACTGGCATCATATTTCGTCCGTTGCATAAATATCCGCCGAGAACGTCTCCACGCTGGCGGGCAGCGCTGCTCAAGCGATGGAGACGTCCGCGGCGTACCAATTTATAATTCATACTTTTGTACTTTAGTTTTACACTCATATTCAACCGAGCCTGAAGTGCCGGCAATAAAATATCTGAACACTAAATTCGTCTCTCAATTCCGTTGGCCGAAGCCACGGTACCTTAGAGAAACTTAGTAATTTACATACATACATAGATAATGCACGAGCGTAGTCAAGTGTTGTCAACGACTCCACCCCTCTCGGGTACTGACAGAAGGAAACACTTCCGACTCTATAAAGTATGTATAAGTTAACACACAAGAAGTAAGGAATGGGTAGCCCTAGAGTTAACTTCAGTACTCAGGGCGTTGATGCCGCATGTCGCTGTAGTGTTCTGCGCCCTGATCCCATTGGACACCAGAAATTCTAGCGCATGCTGCATGGTCAGCAATTTTCTTTTATAGGTGGCCGGCACGCCGGCTATATTTCGGTTAAGTTTGGAACTAAGTTTCATTCTTGTATTTGTGATTAAATTAACAGAACGATCAGAGTTACTCGAACTAGGTTAGGTTAGGTTGAGGCGGTTGTTGGGATTTCACAATCCCGACACACTTAGGCCGGTTTCGGCCCGTTGTGATAATACTCGGACTAATAGCCGTAAATATTAATGATTGAATAATGTTGAGCCATAAGGGCCAACAAGCAGAGCCAAAAAAAAAAACCATCTGTCCGTCCGTCTGTTTATCTGTCCGTCTTTTTTGACACCTATGTATGTATGTATTTCTCAGAGATTTTAAGGGAGGAGCGACCCGGGGGAAGAGAGCGGAACGATGGGTTCCGAGCACGGAACGAGCACAGATCATTTGCCCCTATTCAGCGGCACCGACGTTGCTACGCCCGGAGATAACCCCAATATCGGCCGATCATAACAATAATTGTAAAGTAGCCATAAGACTAGCTTAATACACAAATAAAGCCGATATATCAGAAGTAAACCATAAACCTTGTATTTACTTGGTCACCGAGGCAACAATATAAATTTGTTGAAACAACTCAATAACCACTGAGTTAACTCAGCTCAGGCCAGACGGACAGAAAAATGTTTCGTTACAAGATTATAACAAGAAGGGACGTGTGAGACACAACGCGGGGCTCACACTTGTAACTGTGTGAGCATGCAAAAGTATGGATGCAAAATTATGTGACTCTAGCTTTTATAGTCTCTGAGATCCAGGCGCTCAACAAAACGGACGGACAGACAGACATGGCTCTATCGACTCTGCTATTGATGCAAATCAAGAATATATACATTATAGGGTCGCAAACCAGAAATACAATATACCCTATTTACTCTTCGAGTACCGTGTATAAAAAAGTTGTATAATTTGAATAATTGGTGGCAGTTTCAGTGGCAGTTTCAGTGGCAGTTTCGGTTTCTGGTGTGGGGCATCGGTTGGCCGATCGACCAGTTCCGACGACTGATCGTACGTCCATAAATCTTTAAAACTGTGAATGGAAAAAAGGAAAAAAACAGGCGGACATCTCTAGGTCAACTTGTCCTCTTGAGCATTTATAGATGAAGATTTCCGTACCAACAAAAATAAAAGTTTAAATTATTTGGTGTTTTAATGCTGATATTTATTATTTCTCTTAAGTGCAGTTGCCAACAATTTAAGACTAGTTTAACTGCTGTTGGAGGCATTGTATAAACCAATCCTCCTATTAATCGTCGCCACCAGTCATAACTTCCATAAATTCTATTAATTGAAAACAGTCATTATATAAATGTCACCCCTTCGCAGAAAATATTTTGCAAACCATCAAAATCCACAGTGCCTGATCCATCCGAATCTATTTCTTCGATCATCATGTCCAGATCATCGTTTGTCAATTTATCATCTAATTCTCTCAAAATTTCACGAAGGACGCCTGTTGTTATATAACCATTTCCCTCTTTATCGTAAAGGCGAAAGGCTTCCTTTAATTCTTGCAGCATGGCCTCGGCATCCTCTTCAACAAGAAATCGGGCAGCCAATGTCGTAAATTCTTCGAATTCAATCTGACCCGATCCATCTTCATCGACTTCAGCGATAATATCGGCCAGTGTCGCGTCATCCAGTTGGTGACCCAACATGCTGAGAATGGTTCCAACCATGGCAGTATTAATGTATCCATTCTTTTCTGGATCGAACGCATTAAATGCATTACGAAGCACTGTATTAAAACGTACAAATGATCAGATGTTAATGAGAAATTAAGAGTATTTGAGCAGACTTACGCTCTATTTGTTCTTTCGTCAATTCATCCTAAAAAGAAAATACGGAAAGTTATAAAAGATATTAAGTTTAATACATTTTTATTTTAGCTACTTAGTATCTTATTACAGTACACGACAAATTCGAACTAATTTCTTTCCTCAAGGAACTAAACCCATTGATGCAGCTTAAAATTGCACGCAAACACTTTGTGGTTTTAGCTTAACGTTTGGGAAATATTAATCTTTGAAATGCAAGAATATGGATTTTTGTGAGGTTTTTTTAACGACATTTTTACTTTAAAAACTTAGGAAAAGTCGAAAATAAGTTAAATCCTGTGTATCCGGGTATTGTTATAATTAGAAAATTATGTATGAACTGCCAAACATAAAAGGTTGGTGTTGACAAAGAAATTACTATTCAAATTATTTTGAATCTAATGAAAGTGCTTTGATTACACTACCCGATCCGATTTTCCCAATAACCTATTTTAGCTCAGGCGTCTCTCCATAGATTTTGATGAGCAATACCTTAAACGATGCCCAACGAATGCACATATACACAAAAAAATAAAGAACCCAAGATATCATTTTTATCGACTTTTCCTGAAAAATCAGCAATTTGGCATTTGACAGCCTTATATTTCCCAGACGGTTTACTAAAACAGGTAAGCGATAGGTTTTCAGAATGCCAATGTTCTTTACAACCAAATCTCAGATACTTAAATAATCTACAATATCGAAGCTATCTCTGAATAAGATTTTAACAAAAAATATCAGTTATTAAAAACTTTTCAACAAAAAATTCTGACAGAGAAAAATAAATATAATTCATTAAAAAAGTTGAACGACCCAAATCAAAAAAAGGCGGTTTGGTTCGAAGGCGGTACTCGAAGAGTTAAGGGGTATATTATATTTGTGGTCGAAAAACATAGAAGGAAACGTTAATAACAACATATTATTATAATATATATTATTTATGAGTTTGTAGTCGCCATCAAAAGCGACTCTACTTTTTTAATCGGTACTCAGTCAGTACACAAAATGTAAATTTAAAAATTTAAAATATCATAAGGTTACACATGTACATAGTATGTGCATCACGCCCCCTCCACCTCGTGTTTCTGGAGGGGGTGGGGATAGCCGCTGCAAATGACTATCTTTCTTCTGACTATAATAATGATTCAAGGGGACCATTATTCGTGAATCTGATAGATATGGATATTCTGTAAGGAACTGCCATAGACTATCGTACTTTGTGGGTACGGAAGGGCCGTAGCAAAATGAAGCAAACTTGATACAGTAATTGATTCACATGAGTATTCACACTGCAATTGGTGACTCTAGCTATTATACTTGCAGTTTCAGATTAATGAGAGTCAAACAAAAGGAAGACGGAATGACGGACATGGCAATATCGTCTCGTCTATTGATTCTAATCAAGAATACGTGGTATATTCTTTTTAGGGTCGGAATCGTTTCCTTCTGTGCGTTACGCACATTGCTTCGACCACAAATCTAATACACCCCTTTTACTCTTCGAGTACCGGGTAGGGCTAGTGCATATGGGATGTTTCACATCTGTATGTTACTTGAATTCATGAATAAATAAAAAGAGCGTGGAGGAGTGCCGCAGGCAAACAAATTTTCTCTTTTGCTCCTTGCCCAAACAAATGTAGCTCCCATTTTCAGTGCACTTTGTTTGAAGACAGTGATACACCAACTTAATCGTTATCGTTAATCTTATTGAATCTTTATTCACTTTAAAAAATTTTAGAAGTTGAGGGCATTATGACACTTTTTGGGAGTGGGTGCTATAACACTTTAATACGTGTTTTTCTTTGTGTCATAGCACCAACAAACGTTATGACACGCCTTTGATTTATAGGCAGTACAAAGATGGCTCAATAAACAAAAAAGATATGAGTGCAAAAATAATTGGATATTTGTAAGAACAGAGCAATTTCTCACAAAGGCTGGTATAACAAGCTGTTTCATCTTGAAGTATTTTTTAAATAATACTGGAAGTGAATATTATTGCAACCACAATTTTAAAATTACTAAATTTTTGTCATTTGGTAAAATAATGATTTTATTTAATTTAATTTACATTTTTTACTAAAACTTAATTTTTCTTCAAACATTTACTATTTTGTGTAAATTAGTCTATCCGCTTATTAAATTGGTTGGTTTTTTAAATAGGTATTTTATTATTCGTAGAACTATCTGAATCCTTTAAGCAAAAATAGTCATCCCTAACACTTCTGGTCGTTATTGAATATTTTTATGTATGCATGCACATATGCATCTATAATTTTCCAAAATGACTTACGCTCATTTTGACAGTTCAAGGATATTCCGTTATACCGAAAAATGATATTTTATTTGTGGGGACTTTAATTCTTGTACACAAGTGCATACGATTTAGGAACACTGTCATACAACGAATAAGCAAATACAAAATTGGCAGATACAGGCGTGTTTTATTTGACGATTGTTTCTAAACAAATACTATTTGTTGGTTGCTGGTTTAAATGTTTTTTTGAGTATATATACTTCCACTATTTTAAGGGCACTATTTTATTGTCGTTTGCTCAATAGTTTAGGAAAGACAAGTCGTAACACCTTTAGCGGTGGTATAAAATATTTCACAGCCCCTTGTTATTACGATAGAAAACAGGAATAAAAATATAGTCTTCCCGATTACGCGATCCCAACACATTTTGTATCTTTAGCCACCAACGACATGAGTCGCAGCATCGGATGCGACACAAACTGCACTCGAGGCAGTAGTTTCTAGTATTTTGAAAAACAAAAACAATTCAAACAAATTTAAAGTGAGCATAAACATGTTACTCTCTGAATATTTTCGCTAAGGTGTTCGGGGATAATCATAAATTCTCTCCATCAGACTAATTTCCCTAGTTCGCTACGTTATTTATAGATCTACAATATGCTACAAATTTCATGAAAGAAAAATATTTTTAGGTAATATTCTTCAACCTTAAAATATAGTGTCTGAAACACAGTGATACATACGTTTGTCCTATTCAATTTTTATACCCGGTACTCGAAGAGTAAATAAGATATTTTGTAATTGTGCTCGAAAGTGGATGTATGTAACGTCTAGAAAGAAACCGACCCCACAACTTACATACATAAATGTTCTTTGGCGAGTCAATATAGCCATGTCTGTCTGTCCGTCCGTCTTGATGAGCGCTTAGATATCATTGACTTTAAAAGCTACGGCAACCATATTTTGCATCACACTGTTGGAAGTGTATTTCAATAGTTCGCCCATCCCCGTACGCCCACACAAAAGTGCAAAAATCTGCTATATTCACAGTTCCTCAGATAGGAAAAAACCAAAAACGCAGTTCCGTAGAGAATGGCCATGTCCATCAGATCCCCTAATTAGGAGCATATCGGATCATTATTATAACCAGAATACCAGTTTTGCTTATGCTTTTTTTTTTGTTACCATTCTTTCTCGCGGGGGGAGGGTGTCGGCCTAAAAGGGCGTGCTGGTGTGAAAAGTGATCTAGATGTACATGACAGATGTAGGAAAAATGTAAAATATAAAATTCGAAAAAATCAAAAGCTTAAATTTATCACACTAAGGTTACAAACATATGGACTGACTGAGTCCCAGTATTAAAGCTTTGAATCGTAAGAATCGTCTCACACGTCCCATCACGTTTTTATACCCGCTACTCGAAGAGTAAATAGCGTGTATTGTAAGTGTTTCCAACCCCATAAAGTATATATATTCTTGATCAGTATCAATAGCCTAGTCGATAGAGCCATGTCTGTCTGTCCGTCTGTCCGTCTTGTTGAGCGCCTGGATCTAAGAGGCTATAAAAGCTAGAGGCACCAAATTTTGCATCCAGACTGCTCACACTGAAACCAGTGTATTTAAAAAATTAGCCCCGCTCCCTTCCGCCCCCGCAAAAGGGCGAAAACCACCCAAATCTACAATTTTGAAGATAAAAGAAATCTAAACACCATTTCGTAGGGAATGCCCATATTTATCAGATCACCAAATTGGGATCGAATTGGATCATTATTATGGCCACAATGAAGAAATTAATGACACGCAGCGCGATTAACCGAACCTGCCGCGAGCATGCAGGAAAGATAGATGTTAGGCTAATATTCGAGGAAAATTATAACTAAACACAACTAAACTAGAGCAAGTAAAACTATCAAAGTCAGAAACAAGACAAAGCTAAAATGAAACTAACTACGAGGGAGGTAGGCTAGTATAAGAGATTTAAGAAGAGGAAGGGAGTTAGTCGAGGATAAAATGTGATAGAGGGAATTATAATCCGAGCATAAGACCCTAATGGGTTCGTGCAAGGCATAATTTGATCTGCACAGTGGAAGGAACAAAGGAATATAGTTTATAATGGGTATAATGGGAATCTTAAAGTTTACGCGGCTCAACAAGTCAGGGCTGTCTACATCCCCCTTGATCAAGTTGTGCATAAAAATTACAACAAGCATTTTTCTACGACTAACTAAGGATGGAAGATTTATTAAAAGAAGTCTACTACGGTAGGATGGCAGTATCACAGTTGCATCGCAGTTGAGGCCCCGTAGGGCAAATAATAAAACGTTTTTCTGTACTGATTCAATACTGTCCTGATGTATGTTGTACCATACATATAAATAAAATACATACAAAACATAAAATCGGACGAACAATCGAGATATAGAGAGTCTTCGTTAAATAGGGGTCATCAAATTCCTTTGACCACCTCTTTATAAACCCAAGCAAACCCATGGCTTTATTTACTATGGTAGAAATGTGTTCAGAACACTAGTTAAACACCTAGATCATCAGCCAATGTAATTCTCTCAAGAGAACTACCGCAGAGGGTGTAAGGAGCCAGGAAGGGGCTGGAGCGATAAAAAGTCATCACAGTGCACTTCGAGGCATTAAGTTGTAACATATTTGCACAGCACCATGACTGAAAGCTTTTGAGATCTGATTGCAAGCGAGTGTGAGATGAAATGTCCTTATACTTGATGCAGAGATTAACATCATCCGCATACATAAGTACTCGAGAATTTGTCAATACAGAAGGCAGGTCATTAATAAAGAGTGTGAAAAGTAAGGGGCCTAAAAGGCTACCCTCTGGTACTCCGGAAGTAACCATACTAGGTAAAGATAAGGAGTTTTTGAAGAGGACTCTCTGAGACCTATAACACAGGTAGCTAGAAATCCATCTCAAAAGATTCGGCGGAAGCACTAGAAGGTCAAGCTTTTGTGCAGGAAGTGAAGGATTTACAGAATCGAATGCCTTACTGAAGTCAGTGTAAATAGCATCCGTCTGCAAGTTACCTTGGAATCCCTTAATGACAAAGGAGGTGAACTCTAAAAGATTAGTGGTTGTTGATCGTCGCCGTATAAATCCGTGCTGAGCTGGAGATATAAGTGATTTGCAGAGATGCTGCAAGTGAGGAGTTAAAATGTTTTCTAACATTTTAGGAATATCGGATAATTAGATATACCTATATTGTGTTTACCCTCAGATTTGCTACCTTTCTTATGGAGGATTCCTTCCAGATGGGGGGAAAGCTAGAAGAATGGATGGATAGAGTGAATAGTTTAAGCAAAGGTCCGCACGAGACTCGGCACAGTACCTGGGTACACAGACGGGAACTCCGTCAGGACCCGGTGAAAATAAAGGCTTAACTAGTTGAAGTTCATGAAGTAAGGAGCTTTCATTAAATAAAGGGCAGAAAATGCCTTTCGAACTTGGTAGACTATATGAATACACATGACCGAGGTAGCTCTCCTAGGAATAGGTCGTTGAAAAAATTGTGCAAAAAGATCGGCGATTGCCTGATCATTGTTTCATATTCATCATATTCAAAAATGATAGCGAGGATGGATGTGCGGATGTTCTACCCTTACTGTTTACAAAGCTGTAAAACTATTGTGGGTCCTGTGAAAAACGTATCCTGCCTCGAAGGAGGTAGTTTCTATGGCATTGAGCATATGGAACAGCGAAATTTGACCGAGATATTAAGTAATTAGAAAGAGAAGAGGGAGAACCAACTTCTTGAGATTTTTTAAATAGTTTTGATTTGAGGTTTTTTAGACTGGATAACTCTTTGGTGAACCAAGGTGGCTTCGCAGATCTAGTCGGACATGAGAGTGGGACACACGAGTCAAAAAGTGTGTCAAGTATATTGTAAAAAATGTTTGTGCCTTCAATAACGTCAGTGAGCGAGTACAGAGCGGACCAATTAAAATCCCTAATTAAGTTATTGAGCTTCGTAAATTCGGCTTTACGAATTTATGTACCACACGATCCAAAACAGTATGTCCAGTATCTACCGACACTTCGAAAGTAGGATTATAGCAGTCTTATGGTATAGTGAGCGGAAATGCTCGTGTTAACAACGCTACGGTCGGATCCGAGACAAAGCACAGATCAAGCAATCGACCCAAGAAGTTTTTTACATGGTTGACTTGACACAGGGACTTGTCTAATAAGCCATCAATAAAATCAAGTCGTGACATGGGCACAAGGTTATTAGACTCGTTAACCGAAGACCAAACAGTACCTGGCAGGTTAAAATTCCCAAAAACTATCATATGGTCTTTATCAGATAGCGAGGAAGAAACAGTTTTTAAGGCGGACAAATGCTGATCGTGCTCAACTTACTACGTAAGCCGCGAGCATTTTGATAGGCTACAAAGAGGGAATTTAGTTTTTTTGGAAGTGCAAATGGTGTCGAAATGAGTTGGAGACACGCTAATCTTGAAAGAGGATATCTCCCTGGCATAAGAGAAATTAAACTTCTCCACCTTAAAGCCATCGGCTTTTATTTTGTTTTGTATAAAAGCAGTAACATCATTAGATGTGAGGTCAGGGGCAAGCCGAGAGACAAAAACTTGCCGCTTTGGTGGGACTCCCACCAGAGGTTTTGGCACCACAGATCTGGTACCTGTGACGGCAATATCCGGTGGTCCGGGACGTTTATTAACTGGTGGGATCGAAATAGATGGGATATGATGTGGCTTTGGAACGGACTCGACAGACAGTCCCTACAGTACTAACTGGCTGCATGTTCTCCGAGATGATCGATTCGGTAGACGAAAATTGATCACCAGCAGCTGTCGTTGCCCTTGAAGAGGCAAACGAAATTAGCTGCTGCACTATCGGAGTGGACGGAGATAGTTGATCAGCAGCGAGCGGTCGAGGGACAGGCACTTGCAGATCACGAGGAGTGAATTTTTGCGCCTAAGAGACTCATTCAGCACTTTAAAACTGCTGAATTGAGACTCCATGGCTAGAAGACTGCTTTTTAAAGCCCACGGTCAGCTCCTTAAAGGCCTTTCGCGTCTGCCTTTTAAACGTGACCATGTCATTCTGGACAGACCGGCATGCCTCGCAACTGTAATGCAGACCATTACGCTTTGAAATTGCGTCACCCACGAGGCCTGAAAACAAAATACATACGTTATCGCAGAGCCAGCAAGGGA